TTATACGAGTTTGCACAGTATTCCTTCGATGGAAACTTTATGGGGACTGATGGAATGCGTTGGGGGAACTTGAGTGACGATTTTAACGGGATGCGAGAGGTCATGATTATCATGGTTGTGGAGTGGTTGTTGGTATTTTTGGTTGCATACTATGTAGATCAAATTTCATCCTCTGGTGGTGGGAAAAGTCCTTTATTTTTCTTGAGAAGGTTTCGGAAGAAAGCTGCCGCGTCTTTTAGGTTGCCAAGTTTGCGGAAGCAAGGATCCAAAGTCTTTGTCCAGATGGAACAACCTGATGTCATTCAGGAGGTAACTTCTTACTATTCTTGAATCATTTTCAGATTCCAGTTTGCTTCTGCTCTTGATTCGAACTCCGAGATTGGAGAAAATAACAGCAGTTCTTGGGCTTCAATTGATAAATTGATTCTGTTACAATCATACTGCCAGAGACTTAATGTTGATCTAGTTGCTCCAAGTGATTAATTGCTTACACGATTTGATTTGGACGAACAATTTTTTAAGGTAACATTGACAAAAGTTCTGTTTTATTTCCATAGAGGGAGAAGGTTGAACAGTTATTACTCGAGCCCGATGAGGGTCAGGCCATTGTGTGTGACAACCTAAAAAAAGTCTATCCGGGAAGAGATGGGAATCCTGAGAAGTTTGCTGTAAAAGGGTTATCTCTTGCTGTTCCTCGAGGGGAGTGCTTTGGCATGCTCGGTCCGAATGGTGCGGGCAAGACCTCATTTATCAGTATGGTAAGATTAAATCTTCAAGTGATCACAAAACACTTACTGTTTTATCTAGAATTTTCTAGTTCATATTTATTGTTCCATTTTACTATATTCATTAGCTTGGATTCATGTAGATGATTGGCCTCACAAAGGCTACTGCTGGCACGGCATTTGTCGAAGGTCTGGATATACGGAACGATATGGATATGATATATACCAGCATGGGAGTATGTCCACAGCACGAGTAAGCTTGAAGTCTCTTGCAGTCTGGATATCGTCTTGCGAGACTAAACCATAAAAATGTTATTCTTTTGTTCAACTATGTAGCTTGCCGTGGGAACAACTCACCGGAAGAGAGCACCTGCTCTTTTATGGCAGACTGAAGAATCTACGAGGCTCTGCGCTAACTGAAGTAAGGGACTACACTCTTATCTTGAAAAGATCAACCGTAAAAGGGTCTTGGTCACTCGTTTATGATTGTTATTTTTAAAAGTTGTGAGTTCATATTTTCCAACTCCATTTTATTGGCACAGGCAGTGGAAGAGTCTTTAAAAGGTGTCAACTTGTACCATGGAGGAGTTGCAGACAAAAAAGCCGGGAAGTACAGTGGGGGAATGAAGAGGAGGCTTAGTGTTGCTATTTCACTAATTGGGGACCCAAAAGTAAGTTCCTGTTGTGTGATTTACTAATCTGATGAGAACATTTTGAGTTCATTTGTTAATCTTAATACCTTCCATTGCAACTTTATCAAGGTCGTTTACATGGACGAGCCGAGCACTGGACTTGATCCAGCTTCGAGAAACAGTTTATGGAATGTTGTGAAACGCGCAAAGCAGGATCGAGCTATAATTCTTACCAGTATGAACTCAATTTATCTTTTACTAGTCTTCAAACTGGAAAGCTTCCAAAAACTTGTGACTTCAATCTTCCTTTAGATACTGATATTGACCACCCTCATTTTCCTGTATCATCAGCACATTCCATGGAAGAGGCAGAGGTGTTATGCGACCGATTAGGAATCTTTGTTGACGGTAGCTTGCAATGCATAGGAAATCCAAAGGAGGTACTTGAATTATGTCCCAAAAAAGCTCCAACACATCCTCAACCCAATTATCTGATCAGCTTTTGATTTTGTGACATGAGTCTTGATTGAATTGTGTTTTACAGCTGAAAGGTAGATATGGAGGATCTTATGTGTTCACAATGACTACCTCTGCAAATCACGACGGAGATGTGGAGAACATGGTGAAGCATCTCTCTCCCGGTGCTAGCAAAATCTACCACATATCGGGAACTCAGAAATTCGAATTGCCGAAACACGAGGTCCGAATAGGGGACGTGTTCCAAGCAGTGGAAAATGCAAAGAGTAGGTTCACAGTCTTTGCTTGGGGTCTGGCTGACACAACATTAGAGGATGTGTTTATTAAAGTTGCTCGAGGAGCACAAGCGTTCAATGTACTTTCATGATTCTCCTCCATCAGGTCTCCCATTCATTCCATTCTCATGCTCATGTTTGTCTTTTATGTATATGTTTGTAATATGTTAGTTTCTGTATAGTTCATATGATTCTACAGCATTTGTACTTTTTTCCTTTTTTAATTTTAGAAATATATTGGTCAGATAGCAGGAGGTTAATAAAGTAGCAGTTTGGTCTTCTTCATGAATCCTTTTTCTCATATTAGATCCAAGAGTGTTCACTCATATACACTATTTTTAGATTATCAACCACTCAAGGAAGGATTGATTATAATAAATATGTGATCTAAAAAAATGCATTTTTATATATTTGCTGCTTTCGTGCTGGATGTTGCATTTTAATTTGCTGCTACTTTTCTCATTCAAAACATACATGATCATAATGCACACCGTTTGATCTCGAAAATGACCAATTTTGTGAAGCTTGAACTTAGGTGGCTGACTTACGAAGGAACCTGCGTAGAGAAAGTAAATAGCTATTGCTCTAAAGATAATAGTTTTGCAGAAAGGTGAGGTGATCGACTCTATTTATAGGCATTGAGCTTCCAACAACGGCTGACGAGTGGTTACAACTGTCTCGTAAATCACGTCGTATTATCGGAAAGATGGTTGAGTGTTTTTGTGATATAGCTATCCTTATTGATCGAGCTATATCTTTTTGGCTGAGGTACTTCGTGGTCAAGCTTTAAGGAGGTATTTCAGAGTCGAGGTACCTCTTATTGCTGAGGTGAACTTTATGACCGAACTAGCTCTTATGGTTGAGGTGAGCTTTATGGTCGAACTAACTCTTATTGGTCCACGTGTCACGTCGTTTTTCATCCTCTAATTGACACTTAATTGAAATTATCATTCTATAAAATTATGCAATATACCCCACATTATCTTCGAAAAGATATTAAAAAGGACGACTACTATCATTCCTAAATTAGTGGACCCACTTTTTTAAAAAGAACAAGATCACGCTTAATTTAAACATAATCACAAGTCGATCATGACAGTACACTCATGTGTGAACCTTAGTAAACACACAATATTAGAAAAATTATTATTCCCATTCCACAATGTAATTTCGATTTCTTCCCGATCCTCATTTTAAATCAAGAGTAAACACATGAGTTAAAATCCAGCCTTCCTAATCTTTTTTTTTTAATTCTTAAATTATCATATCAAAAATTTCTTTTAATAAATATCATATTTAAATTTATGAAATATTGAAACAATGAAAGAAATATTCCTATCTTTTTTTAGTACAACGTGTGAGTTTGGTTTGAGATATATATCAATTACCATTGAACTATGCTCGCTTTGACAAAAATATTTCTATCTTTTAAGAAATTATCTAATATATAACTCAAACTTTTAAGTCTAGAGTTTAATAAAGACACGTGGAAATTCAAGTTTAAGACGTTTCGTTTTTTATTATAGAATACATGTATTAATCGGTTGATGCATGTTAAAATTGGCCAACAATAGCTTGTTGATATATAGCAAAAACAGCATATATGGTAAGTATTTTATCTTTTGTGGGACATATATGGTTAATGCAATTGTAAAAAAGTAAAACAATAAAAGGATGCGAAAGAATAGGTCAAATTTCAACTAAAAATCCAATCTTTTTAAGGGGGAAAAAAACAACTCTAATACGATTTTGTTTCGATTTTGTTTCTATCATTGTCTACAAAATAGTTAACAGAATCAAAAAACCCCAACAAACTTATCTCTCTCTCTGCTCTCTCTCCATTATCTTCATCTCTCTATACAAATAAATATGCTGAGGGTTTTCACATTCAAAAACAAGCAAAAACACCTGCAATTACTTGAACCAGTGGGGCAAAAGAATGGCGAAACCTGTCCCATTGATCTTTATTCTATCACTTTTTGCAGGCATTTTGTTTGCTAATGGATCTGATCAAATCGGAACTTACGAGTTGAAGAAAGGAGATTTCTCTATTAAATTCACCAATTATGGTGCAACCATTCTCTCAGTTATTCTCCCTGACAAACATGGTACGTTGAATTGATTCTATACCATTTGCATCCAACGCATTAATCAATCATCATCATCATCATATATATATATATATATATATATATATATGTAATTGGTAATTTGATTTCTCGATCTGTTTCAGGAAAGTTGGATGATGTTGTTCTTTCATTTGACAACATTGACGATTTTCGAGTGAGATAATTCTGTTCTTCTTCTTCTATAAAAGATCAGGAAATTTTAAAACCAGGGTGTGCATTGAATTGAATTGATTTATTTGCAGAATGATACGACATACTTTGGGAACATTGTTGGACGTGTGGCGAACAGAATCGGAGGAGCTCAGTTTGAACTCAATGGCGTCGTCTATAAACTCGTTGCCAATGATGGGAAAAACTTGCTCCATGGTAATTAATCAATCCTTTTAACTAATTAGCTAGTCTCTCCCTGTATTCTCAACCAAATTCGTGTTGTGTGTTGTGATTCATGAATCAATCAGGTGGGAAGATAGGATTCGGAGATGTGATCTGGAAAGTGGAGAGCCATGTGCAGGACAGCCACATTACATTCACGTACGACAGTTTCGATGGCGAACAAGGTTTGTAAATTAACTTTAGGTTGGTTTAGAGGAAACGATCGGGATTTGATTTGGAAATGAACACGAAGAACAGGGTTTCCGGGCGATGTGTCGGTGTCCGTAACGTACCTGTTCATCGAGACAAACAAATTGGGGGTAAAAATGGCGGCGAAAGCCCTAAACAAAGCGACCCC